TATGATGACAATCAAAATCAAATTGATGTTTTTTCGCTGAATCATTTTACTATAGGACCTATAAATATATATACATATATAATTGTATTTTTAGCACGCCGATTTTCTTTCACAATGCATTAGGGTTAATAATTTATGTATATCTAAACACATCACCCTTTTTTGTTTATTTTGAGGGAAGACTGTATCATTACAGGCGCGGGACTGTACAGCACAGTTGACGCCTACGACTGGTCCCTGGCATCATTGACTTGAAGACTGTATCACTATAGACCCGGGACTGTACAGCACAGTTGACGCCTACGACTGGTCCCTGGCATCATTGACTTGAAGACTGTATCACTATAGACCCGGGACTGTACAGCACAGTTGACGCCTACGACTGGTCCCTGGCATCATTGACTTGAAGACTGTATCACTATAGACCCGGGACTGTACAGCACAGTTGACGCCTACGACTGGTCCCTGGCATCATTGACTTGAAGACTGTATCACTATAGACCCGGGACTGTACAGCACAGTTGACGCCTACGACTGGTCCCTGGCATCATTGACTTGAAGACTGTATCACTATAGACCCGGGACTGTACAGCACAGTTGACGCCTACGACTGGTCCCTGGCATCATTGACTTGAAGACTGTATCACTATAGACCCGGGACTGTACAGCACAGTTGACGCCTACGACTGGTCCCTGGCATCATTGACTTGAAGACTGTATCACTATAGACCCGGGACTGTACAGCACAGTTGACGCCTACGACTGGTCCCTGGCATCATTGACTTGAAGACTGTATCACTATAGACCCGGGACTGTACAGCACAGTTGACGCCTACGACTGGTCCCTGGCATCATTGACTTGAAGACTGTATCACTATAGACCCGGGACTGTACAGCACAGTTGACGCCTACGACTGGTCCCTGGCATCATTGACTTGAAGACTGTACCACTATAGGCGCGGGACTGTACAGTGAAGTGGGCGATTACAACTGGCTGCGGACTCCATTGATTTGATATGTGTTGTTTATGTAAGCTGGTGTCGTCCGGAGGTTGGTCTTGTCGATTTTGTTTTGCGTGTAGCGTGGTTCCCCAACACTTACTATAATTTCAGTCAAGCTATTGCCATTTGTCAAAATGTCAATTAACCATCTTTTGTCATTTTATTCTGAAATGATTTAAACATCGGACATGAAGTGCAGAATATCTATTGTAGGTTATTGTTCTCCTTGAACGCCATTAATGGTTAAAAGTCTACCGGAATGAAAACTAGAAAATCTTTTTGGACATTACTGCTATGAAATATGAAAATCTATTCCTGTATTACTGCTAGGGAAATCTATTCCGCCATTACTACTACGGAAATTTATTCTGCATTACTGTCACGGTATTATGTTCCGCCATTATTGCTACGGAAATCTATTCCGACATTACTGCTATGAAATATGAAAATCTATTCCTGTATTACTGCTAGGGAAATCTATTCCGCCATTACTACTACGGAACTTTATTCTGCATTACTGTCACGGTATTATGTTCCGCCATTATTGCTACGGAAATCTATTCCGACATTACTGCTATGAAAATCTGTATCGACATTACTTCTACGGAAATCTTGTCCGCCATTACTGCTACGGAAATTTATTACTGCTATGCAAATCTATTCCGCCATTACTGCTATGAAAATCTATTTCGACATTACTTCTACGGAAATCTATTCCGACATTACTGCTACGGAAATCTATTTTAATATTACTGCTACGGAAATCTGTTCCGCCATTACTGCTACGGAAATCTATTCCGCCATTACTGCTACGGAAATCTTTTCCGACATTACTACTACGGAAATCTATTCCGACATGACTGCTATTTATTTTGTTCGTATGTGACAAGAAGTAGGGTCGCCTGTCCAACCTCGTGGGTTTTCTCCGGGTCCTCCGGTTTCCTCCCACTGCTAAAAGACGTGGTTTCGATTCCCCGGTTGTATGTGACGAGGAGTAGGGTCGCCGGTCCATTTTCGTAGGTTTTCTCCGCTTCTCCGGTTTCCCCCCACTGCTAAATACCCCTACGCACGAGCTAATTATTGAAATAAAATTGAACCGTATGTCAGACCCGAAATGACCTAGTGTGTGTGTCGAGATCGAGTGGATGTTAAACCCCCCCCCCCTCTCTCTCTCTCTCTCTCTCTCCCTCTCTTTATTCGTTCCCAATGAGCCACGGTGGACAGGTGGCTCGCTAGCCTGGAGGTCGGGTGTTCGATCCCTGCATTGGCCGAGAAAGTTCATCCAGATTTTCCGACGTGGTTTCCCCTTGTCAGTGATGCAGGACGGAGGGCCTGGCAAGGACAGCTGTCTAGTCCTTCGGATGAGACGAAAAACCGAGGTCCCGTGTAAACATTGGAATGCACGTAAAAGATCCCTTGGCAGTTGGAATTCGATATAAGAGTAGGCGATAGTGCCGCTGCCCAGGCAAAATTTCCCTCATAGCACACTGTATGGCGTATGCCCGTCTTCATTGGCCCAGTATAGGAGCAGAACAGTAGGACGTTAAACCCCATTTCATTTCATTTATTCGTTTCCCCGAACCAGAAATCGAGCATGTTTTTAGAGAAGATGAATATAAATGAAATCTACCTACACATGTGTACATATAATCATACCGTGATTTATATATAAATAGTAGATGTGTTAGTTTCTGATTAAATATCCATCAATATCCATCTCTTAATCAAAATATACATACAGAAATCTGTTTCAATCAATTTGTTAAAATATTGTTTGATTATCTCATTAAGAAAGATTGACGTGCAACAGTCAATTACAGGTCATGAAACAACATCAGGGTCGACAGCAGTTAAAGCGACAATTTCATTTTTTTAAAACATACATTAATTTCTTTAGGCCTGAAATGTTATCTAAATTATTAATTAGGCATTAATTAACTTATCCAGACCATAATCAACTCTCTCGATGCCATCGCTAGCCTGCGATAGTTAGCGGATTGGGATACATTTTTTTAAAAATAATTAAACGTAAAAATGGATAATCGAGACTTATTTTTTTTATCCTACCGACTTTAGTAATCATGATCGAGGCCAGTCTAAAATTCAGAAGCTAATATCTCGGTTCAGAGTGAAGCAATTTGACTGAAATTTTCAGCATATTCTGCTTTCATTACCTTTTATTCTATTATAGCGAGATGTGTCAACTCTGTTTCTAATCTTACCTAATGATCCTTTAAATCATGAAGTTAAAATACATGACATAGTACTACCCTATTATAGAATACACTTATAACATGATACCCTATTATAGAATACACTTATAACATGATACCCTATTATAGAATACACTTATAACATGATACCCTATTATAGAATACACTTATAACATGATACCCTATTATAGAATACACTTATAACATGATACCCTATTATAGAATACACTTATAACATGATACCCTATTATAGAATACACTTATAACATGATACCCTATTATAGAATACACTTATAACATGATACCCTATTATAGAATACACTTATAACATGATACCCTATTATAGAATACACTTATAACATGATACCCTATTAAAGAATACACCTATAACTTCTATAATTCACTAGTGTCAGTTGAGACATTGACAAAAATATCATTTTCTTGTTGAAAGTATAGGATCTCGTCTGAGGAGAACGGATAACTTCTAACACACAATCTGATTAAAACACAGATCCAATTTCGTTTCGTTTTTTATAGTTCAAAATTTCGTTTTTACTTGTCTTTACTACACTTGGATCTGGAAGTCTTGACAAATCGGCCCCGTTTGTCGCGACGCAGGAGCGCCATCACGTAGTGATCTCCAAAACTATTATGGCCACTTCCGCCTTCATTTCTATCGGGTTTGGAGCTCAAAGGACGGCAATAAACTCGCTCTAACTTGACTGAATGAAAAATCTAACATACCTTTCGACTTTGTGGAATAACAATCTATAATTCTAGTGATCTTTTTTTTGAAAATCTTATCGGATTCCTGAGAACAGATGTATTTTCTTCATGATCACCATCAAAACATTGAAGAATCGATTATGTCGTAAATTTTATGTTAATTAGATTGCCATTACTTAGATTTTCCTTTTTCTCACTGTTTTATTGTCGATTTGGGATGATACGAATATTTAGTATATATTAAAGACGTCTCTGTTCATTTGACCTCATTTGACGTTTAAACCTATATAATGTACATGAATTTTAGGTACTATTTTTTTTGCGGATTAATACAGCTGTTCTGTATTGTATTCTGTTGTAGACTGTGAAAATTTTGGATCCATGTGTCGACGCTTTAAATCACATGGATCCATTAAACCTTCTAACTGTTTAATTTCATTTTTTTCATTGAAGATTCTTATATTACAAATCTTTCCTTACACTAGAAACGTAATAACTGGTTATTTAACTCGTGTTCTACTTGAAATGAGGGGTCAGCCAATCAAATGGTCTGTCGAATCGAGCGTTTGCCTTTTTTTTGCGCGGAACTGTGGATAGACATTACCAGCGATAGAAATCAAAACAAATCAAAAGTAGATTTTAAAAAGCATGGCGGTCGCTAATTGGTTAATCGAATAACTGACGTTATCGGGTCAAATGTCGCTTGCTTGGTACCTGACGTCATAGAACGTGAACTCCCACTATTACTTGTCAGATCTTCATGTAGTGTAGGCCATCGAAAGTATAAAAAACGAAACGAAAAAAAGATCTGTATTTTAATTAGATTGCTTCTAACAGGGTATGTTTACTCTTCCTAGAACAACTGATATCACTCCTCATCTGATGAGTTCACATGGTATGTTTACTCTTTCTAGAACATCTCATACCACTCCTCGCCTGATGAGTTCACATACTATGTTTACTCTTTCTAGACCACCTCATACCACTTCTCAATTGAGGAGTTCAAAAAGTAACTACCAGCTTTTATACTTATTATTATTATATTTTACATCTGTTTCAGAATGACGAACTCCATTATTCACCACGTGGGCCTTAATGACGTCATCGTAGTGTTTCTATTAATAGCCGCCACCTCCATTCCATTTACCCAATCACAGCAGGTTGCCAGAAACATCGTCGATAACCAGGAGCAATTCGAGGATCTCATCAATTATTTATCGTCTCTAAGACAAATATTAGGACCAGGTTTTGATCTCGAAGATTATATAGATGCAGATCTACTGGAGAGTTACAGACGACAGTGTCTATCAACAAATGGGTGTCAAAAGGTACCCCAAGCTCGTCCCAGGGGCGGAAAGGATGCGTTTTCGTTTTTAAGGATAGGACGGAGCACTGATAATATCAGAAAGATGGCGGATTCTGATGCAGAGGTACATACTCAAAAGCGTAGAAGCTTTTACAGAATTGGAAAATTACCGTCGTCAGCTTTTATGAAAATGGCGTTTAGACCCTTCGTTTCTCCCGGTAAAAGTCGAATTACAAAATCAACTGTGATCAGAATTGGTTGATTCCGTGGTGAAACTGTCAAATGGTAAGATTCAGCTTTGATATTTAAACCATTGTGTGACATGTGTTACATCTCAATCGGATTAAAACATATTTTATTTCGTTTTTCATAGTTCAAAATTTTACTTTACTTGCCAAGGGTGTTGGATGGCCGAATGGTTAGCGTGCGTGCTGTATAATAAGGTCTGTCATTGAGTCAACTGGCGTGGTTTCGATTCCCCGGTTGTACGTGACAAGGAGTAGGATCGCCTGTCCAGCGTCGTGGGTTTTCTCCGGGTCCTCCTGCCCCCCCCCCCCCACTGCTAAAGACCCCTACGCGCAAGCAAATGATTGAAATAAAATTGAACCATATATTAGTTCCAAAATGACCTAGTTGGTGTCGAGTGGATGTTAAACTCTCTCTGCCTCTCTCTCTCTCTCTCTCTCTCTCTCTCTCTGTGTTATTTTAAAGGGGTTGTTTTAACGCTGGGCGAAAAAATCACCATACTTTTACAAAGCCTGTGCTTAGATTTTCCGTCGAACATTATTTTGAACGGTTTCACCCAAGAACGTCCATCGGGATTTTCCGGTGTGACCCCCCCCCCCCCCGCCTTGTCAGTGGTGCAGAACGGAGGGCGTGGCAAGGGACAACGTATAGTCGTTCCCGTATCCAGATTGGCGTGCACGAAAATGAACCTTTGACAGAGTAAGCCATAGCTCGTCTGTCAGGGCAAAATGTTCTCATAGCTCACTGTCAGGGCAAAATGTCCTCATAGCTCACTGTCAGGGCAAAATGTCCTCATAGCTCACTGTCAGGGCAAAATGTCCTCATAGCTCACTGTATGGCGTATGCTTGTCTTCATTAGCCCAGTTCGGAGCAGAACAGTAAGACGTTAAACCCTATTTCATTTTGACAGTAAAGAAGAACCATCGGATAACTGATATGTCAGCGAAACTCAAATAAACATCACACCACCAGCAACATATGAAACTCGTAAATACAAATAACAGCTCAAGTTATTTTTTGTAGAATTAAAAATATGAATTTAAAAAAAAATAATGAATAATTTGGTCTGTTTTCAGGTTTCCATATGAACAGTGTATAATGGATGGGGTGAGAAAATGCAACTTTTTGTTTTATTGTCATGACGTTTAATTTGATGGAAGTGAAACTACTGTGAAAAGATTAAATAATGCGACTTGTTCCTGACACGTGGGATGATAAATTGTGATTATTTCATGTTTATTATTTCTAGGATGTTTTATTAGATGTGGAGTTAAACACCATTTTCTGTGGATTTGAGTTATTTAATTATTATTGAACAGAACGGTTCTAAGATTTATTACTTAGTGTTTACATACATCTATTATATTATATTATGGTGTTACCATTAAATCAAATTAAATATGAAATGAAATGGTGTTAAACGTCAAACTTTTCTGCTCCGACTGGGTTAATGAAGACGGACATACGTAATGAATGTGCTCTGAGAAATATTTTGCCTGGGCAGCGGCGCTATGGCGTACTCGAGTTCCAACTGACAACGTATCTTTTATATGCACGCCAATGTGTACACGGGATCTCGGGTTTTCGTCCTATCCTAACGACTATACGTTGTCCCATGGATGTCCTACAGGGGGGGGGGGGGGACACGCCGGAAAATCCCGATGAACTTTCTTGGCCAGCACTGGGATCGAACACAGGACCTCCAGTTTAGAGGAGGGGGGTGGGGGTGGATGGCTGAATGGTTAGCGTGCGCGCGCTGTATCATAAAGTCTGTCATTGAGTCGACTGGCGTGGTTTCGAATCCCCGGTTGAACGTGGCAAGGAGTAGGGTCGCCTGTCCAACCTAGTGGGGTTTCTCCGGGTCCTCCGGTTTCCTCCCACTGCTAAAGACCCCTACGCGCAAGCGAATTCTTGAAATAAAATTAAACCATATGTTAGTCCCGAAATGACCTAGTTTGTGTCGAGTGGACGTTAAACCCCATTTCTCTCTCTTTCTCTCCAGTTTAGAGAGACAACGTCTCACTCACTGAGCCACCGTGGCTCTGGCTCTGCATCACGCATAAGAACCATCAGATGATAAACACAGCATGTCTTCCCCAATCTGTAATTAATTACGGTGCAGATAACAATATGCCACTGGATAACCTGTTCGAAATGACGTCAGACTTGTTCCTACGTCACAGCACTGTTTGGAGAAATATCCCGTTTTCGCAGATTGTCTCCCTTGGTTTGTTTCCAATTTTAGAGAAGCCTGTGTCACTTAGGATGACCCGCAATGGCTCACATGGAAGATTTCTATACAGCAATATGTTTGAATCTAGTCTCGCGATAGTCTATTTGAGTATTAGTCTAGTCAAAATACTGAAAGAACCACCACAAATTCCTTTAGGTCTTTTGGTACCAACTTGTAAATGACCTTTCCCTTTACATCATACTGAAAATCCACCGAAATTCACCGGCGTGGTTGGTCCCCTCTTGTCACTGGTGCAGGACAGAGGGCCTTCGACAACGTAGACTCATTCGGAAGAGACGTAAAAAAGTCCTTGGCAGTTGGAATTGGATATAAGAGTAGGCCGTAGCACAGGTCCCGGACACAATATGACGTATGCCTGTCTTCATTAGCCCAGTCGGGCATTAAAACCCATTTCAATTACGTTTAACTCAAAGAAATATATGTTTTAATGTAATAAACATAAGAAATGAAAATATTGCCCGCCACCAAGACAAAAATCAACGAATATTATTTATATAATATTGACACCCCACTCATCTCTTGCACTACAACTACAACCACTATCAGCAGAGCAACTGACAACACCACGACCGTCACCATACTCAAAGAAAATGAAATTTAATTAAATGAATATAATTAATTCACATATTCTATTTTTAAAAATATTGTAAAGACCTGCACTAACAGTAGAAATTTTAGTTTTCAGACAGTACATCTTCTAAAATCTCCAAATATTAACTTACAACTTGGGAAACGTGCTTTGTCCTATGCTAGACCTTTTGTATAGAATAAACTACCAAAGCCAATTATTGTCAAAACAGTCGAGAGATAGAGAGAAGAGAGAGAGAAAGATAAATGAAATTTTACGCCCACTCGACACAAACTATAATTCGCTTGTACATAAGGTCTTTAGATTTGGGAGGAAACCAGAGAACGAGGTTAGATGGCCACCCCATTCCTTGTCACGTACGAGCGGGGAATCGAAACCACGCCACTTGACTCAATGACAGAACTTATGATCTAAAATGCATGCGTTAACAATGCCCCCCCCCCACCTTCCTCCCTCTTACCCAAAGAATAATAAAATTAAATAAATACTAGTATTTCTTACATGTTGAATCACATAAACCAAGAACATTAGCTGACTACTGGGGCATTTGCCGTGATCGAAGGCTATGCATTTTTATTTTATATAAAAACTATTGGAAGGCGACGGATGTATCGAATTGCCTGTTCCTTTATTTTTTATATGTATACATTACATTCTCTTTCGCTTTGTGGTCTCTGAATTATTAAAATTCAAATATATCTATTGATGTATAACGTGATGGTGTAAAGGTATCTTGTATATAGCATATCATGGTGATCAATCAGAGAAAGTAAAAGATGCATATACGTAAGATTTAGATAAAGAGCTGACAGTTCATGCAATAATATTATAAACATAAATTATACAAGGGCTACATCTGCCCTTTGCAAGTCTTTCGTTAGGTCTGAAATGTTATATAAACCATTAATTAGACAAGACCATGGCATCGGATACTCGAGGATTTTTAAATGGCAAACCGTTCTAATGTATAGTTAAAACTATACATTAGAACGGTTTGCCATTTAAAAATTTAATTCAAAAATGAGAAAGTCTCGAATAGACCAGAGCGAGAGAGAGAGAGAGAGAGAGACAGAGAGAGAGAGAGACAGAGAGAGTGATGGGGTTTAACACATGGTTTAATTGCGCGTACGGGTCTTTAGTAGAGCGACGAAACCAGAGGACCCAGGGAAAACCATACTCCTTGTCACGTACAACCGGGGAATCGAAACCACGCCAGTTGACTCAATGACCGATCTTATGATACAACTCCCACGTGCTAACCATTCGGCCATTTCCCCCCCCCCCCAGCTGTTAAAAAATGCATCTTTAATCATCATAACCTCCTTTATACTCAGTTATTTTAAAATGTCAATCAGTTTCACAACATTCAGCATGATTAAACATTAGCGATAAAATTTCAAAACGTTTCACTACCTTCGGCATGATTAAATTTTAGCGATAAACGATCAATATACAAAACACGCTGATATGAATATTATATGTCTTGAATTTGTATTGTTACTATGTTTTATTATCCTAAAAGATTCATGGTAAATATCATATACGAATACAACCCACGCTTGTGTGAATATTTCATAGTTTGATTTTCTATTGTTGCTATGACGGAAAGTGAAGTAACTATATATCAACGCTGTTATGCATTCTGCCTCAGTTTTTTTTTCTTTAGAAAGATAATGTCCCGCAATATGATCAAGCAAAGGTCACTACAGGCCTGGAAATGCATTCGACAAAACTCGGCAGATTCCGGTACCCTACAACTAACCTTGGCTGTATGGCGGTGCCCCACGTAGACGCCAGTGAAGAGTGGTTTATCTCAAGAAACTGTATATTGTGTGTTATATACTTCCAATTTCAAGTTTATCCGATTTTGGGGGGTTGGATGGCCGAATGGTTAGCACGTGCGCACTATATCATAAGGCCTGTCATTGAGTCAACTGGCGTTGTTTCGAATCCCCGGTTTTACGTGACAAGGAGTAGGGCCGCCTGTTCAACCTCGTGAGTTTTCTCCGGGTTCTCCGTTTTCCTCCCACTGCTAAAGACTCTTATGTGCAAGCGAATTGTTGAAATAAAATTAAACCATGTTAGTCCCGAAATGGCCTAGTCTGTGCCGAGTGGACGTTAACTCCCATCTCTCTCTCTCTCTCTCTCTCGCTCTCTTATCCGATTTTTTTTTAACAGATCACTACTTAGCAACGAAAACTCAGCACAGACGTCGAACGACTCTACCCTGAGAACTTCTTTCTAAAGTGCCAAGTCTTCCTAATAAGTATGAGGGAGCCGCATCAAAATTGTATAGGTGTAGCTAACGTCATATAGCCGAGGTTGGGTGTAGGCTACCGGAGTCTGCCGGGGTTTGCCGGAACTGTACAGGGAGGGGGGGGGGGAGAAATGGGGTTTAACGTCCACTCGACACAAACTAGGTCATTTCGGGACTAACACACGGTACAATTTTTTTTTTCAATAATTCGCTTGCGCGTGTCCGTCAATTTTGCAGCATCCCTGAGTATACTTCCTGTCCCCCCACCCCCCGTTGCTCTGAACCAATATTCAGATACAAATCTTAATAAAATATTGTTTTAAACAAAATGTTCTTATTGTCCTAAAGACGTCATTTTGCCCTGTCTTCCCGCTGTCCCTCGCTTATTCCCATCCAATCCGGCGCACAGTGTTCGAGCATATGTGCCATCGACCATCCCTCGTTACTGGTTGGTTCTAAGCAAACAGTGGGGACAGATTTACGTCAAATCGACTCACCCATGTGCTATAGAACCGATATGTTCTTTGGAGAGAACCCCGCCCACGTCCTTCCTAGAACAAAACTTAAAATTCTACCCAGCCATAGACAAGATATAAACAGGCATAATACAAGATATAAGATATCAGATTAGATGGTGGGAAATGGTGTATATCTGTAATCGTTCGGTGTACGTGGTTTGATCTATTTCACATAGTCATCTGCAGATTTCCCCGGCAACAATCGCGTGCCCTAACTCTGTTTACATATCGTGACCTTGAGTAAATGTGCAGGTAGCCATGTTAAATAGATCTAAATCGCTGTAAATGTCTGAATCTGTAATCCTTCACACTGTCGAAATGTTTCACGAAAGACTTGTCGTAACTCTGTACAAGATGACTAACCTTTAAGTTAACGTGTATTAGGGGGTGGGTGTTGGGGGGGGGGGGGGAGGGGCGCTACCTTGGAGGATGCGGGTTTTATCCTGGTTTTGTTGGCCGAGACAGTTCATCTGGATTTTCCGGCGTGGTTTTCCTTGTCAGTGATGCAGGACGGAGGGCCTGACGAGGACAGTTGTCTTACCTTTGGGATGATACGAAAAACAGAGGCCCCGTGAACACATTGGCGTGCACGTAAAAGATCCCTTGGTAGATGGAATTCGATATAAGAATAGGCCGTAGTGCCGCTGCCCGGGCAAAAGTTTCCACGTAGCACACTGTATGGCGTATGCCGGTCAACATTAGTCCAGTCGGAGTAGAGCAATAAAACGTTAAACCCATTTCATTTCAGTTCACGTGCAGTACAGGACTATGTGTGACGTCACATCGGGCCGCGCGATAACATGTACATGGTTTAAATCTGACGTAGTAACACAACCGCGTCTAGACAGAATTGGTGCCTTTTACTCATTTTATGAACTCATTTATATTTAAAAAAAGAAGTATTTTTACAATTGTAGAAGAAAAAAAATTAAGTCGTCCCGTTGTTATCCCTTTAGGGGGGGGGGGGGATTGCCGAATGGTGCGCTGTAACATAAGACCTGTCATTGAGTCAACTGGTGTGGTTTCGAATCCCCGGTTGTACGTGACAAGGAATAGAGTCGCCTGTCCAACCTCGTGGGTTTTCTCCGGGTCCTCCGGTTTTCTCCCACTGCTAAAGACCCCTACGTGCAAGCGAAATATTGAAATTAAAATTAAACCATATGTTAGTCCCGAAATGACATAGTTTGTGTCGAGTGGGCGTTAAACTCCATCCCTCTGTCTCTCCCTCTCTCTCTCTCTCTCTCTCTCATCTCAGTGAGTTTTGTGGTCACGTGAATATTCACTGCTGATCAGTTTGTGACGCTAAACTTTAGGTTGAATTGTAAAAAGGGGAGGCAATTCAAAATACCGTGTGTCAGATATGACTTGACACAACCAATACAATATAATTTATATACACGTCACGTGGTCATTTCAAATTAAGCTAGAAAATTAATTTAAATTCATGAATAATTAACGTCTCATTAATATTAATTATAATATCTGAAATTGAGGAAGTTACCTGTAGTTACACCGTTCTCATATCCCATGATCTAACTCCTCTAACCAGGTAATTAGTGTTAATTACAGGTAATTATAGATCACAGGTGTGTATATAAGGTAGATGATCAGGTAGTAGAATCAGTATCCTGTTTATCTACACCTATTATCAAGGTAAAGTTTTTTTTAATACAAATTCTCAATTTTTCCGACGTGGTTTATCCTTGTCAGGGAGCCATGGTGGCTAGCTGGTTAAGACGCTGGCTCGCTAGCCTGGAGGTCGGGTGTTCGATCCCTGCATTGGTCGAGAAAGTTCATCCAGATTTTCCGACGTGGTTTCCCCTTGTCAGTGGTGCAGAACGGAGGGCCTGACAAGGACAGCTGTCTAGTCCTTCGGATGAGACGGAAACTGAGGTCCCGTATATACATAGGAATGCACGTAAAAGATCCCTTGGCAGTTCGAATTCCATATAAGAGTAGGCGATAGTGCCGCTGCCCGGGCAAAATTTCCCTCATAGCACACTGCATGACGTATGCCCGTCTTCATTAGCCCAATATAGGTGCAGAACAGTAGGACGTTAAACCCCATTTCATTTCATTTCATTTCATTTACCCTTGTCATAGGTGCAGGACGGGGGGGGGGGGGGTGGTTACAGAACAGCCGTGTAGTCGTTCGGACGGGATCAAAAATCGAGGTCCAGTGTACAAATTGACGTGCACGTAAAAGATCCCTTGACAGTTTGAATTCGATATAAGAATAGGCCATAACGCTGCTGTCCGTGCAAAATTTCCCTCATAGCATACTATATGGCGTATGCCGTCTTCATTGGCCCAGTCAGAGCAAAACAGTAGGGCGTTAAACCCGATTTCATTTTGATATTTTCAATATTTGATGTAGGGGGCCGCGGTGGCTCAGTGAGTAAGTCCATGTCTCAATGATCAGGAGGGCCCGTGTACGATCCCGGTTGTGGCCGAGAACGTTTCCCGGAATTAATTTTCCAGAGTGATGGTCCCCTTGTCAGTAGAGTAGAAACAGGCTATAGTCGTTCGGACAAAACGAAAAACCAAGGTCAGTGTACATAGTCCAAGGACCAGCGTTAAGTCGTATGGATGGGACGGAAAACCGACGTCTCGTTTACACGTTGCCGCGCACTTAAAGGAACCCTTGACAGTTGGATTTCGAAGTTAGAGTAGGCCATAGCACCACTGTCCGTGCAAAATTTGATTATCGCGGTT